ACGTGGGGGGGGGGGGGGGGTTTGTGTTCTGGCCCTGGAACGAGGCCGCCCTGGCAGCGCCGTGTGGCACCGGATGCGGCGCGCTCGCCACGGTCGCCCGTGGGATGCGCGTCGCGCCGGTGCGCGCGCCGCCCCACACCGGGCCTCCCGGCTGCATCTTGGCGCCTGACGCCCGTCCCAGCCGTCGCATCCGCAGACGGCGCCCTAATTGTGCTCGCAGCCGCGCACGCCCGGGCGCGTCGCCCGCCAGCGGGGGTCGGTGGCGGCCCGGTCTTGTGCGCGGCTTGGTGCCTGCAACCAAGGGCCAATTTCGGGGCGGCGACGCGCCTTGGCGCGCCGTCTCGTGGGGTGAACGAGGCCATTGGGAGTTGGGGGGTGTGCGGGTGTCGGCCGCCCTGGCAGCGCCGTGTGGCACCGGATGCGGCGCGCTCGCCACGGTCGCCCGTGGGATGCGCGTCGCGCCGGTGCGCGCGCCGCCCCACACTGGGCCTCCCGGCTGCATCTTGGCGCCTGACGCCCCTCCCAGTCGTCGCATCCGCAGACGGCGCCCTAATTGTGCTCGCAGCCGCGCACGGGCGGCGCGACGCCACCTGCCGCCGGGGCCGGGCGGGAGGGTATGAGAGCTGGCCCACGACGCGTTTTCAGCCAGTAGATGCACGCGGGGGGCGCTCACGGGCGGCCGGGAGAGGCGAAAACGCTCTGGGGCGCAGATCGCACTGTGGGTTCTACAAGCGGGCCCACGGTTCCCTGGGGTCGCCTCGTGAATAAACGAGTATAAAGAGCGGTGAGTTGTGTGTGTGTGTGTGTGTGAACCAGGGCTCGCACCTCAACCTCTCACAGGCCAGCGCACAGCGCCATACGAGGTATTTTCTTCTCAATAACAAGGCTGTGAAGGGCCGTCGCAACTGCCATGTCGGCCCCCCCCAGGTTGTAGGCTGGTGCTCTCGCCCCGCTGGCGGCGCGGACCGGTGCCGCGGCTCCGAGCCCTCCTGTGGGCCCGCGGCGGCTCGCCGTCGCGGTGCCGAACAATGTCATCGGTCCGGATTCATCCCGGCGTGCCGCCGGTGACGCTTCTTCGCCGAAATTTTGCTCAAGCTCTTTGTCGACAAAGCTGTGCCCGAGCTCCTGCTGCTCGACTGCGCGGCGGAACCCGGCCCCTGGATGCTGAGATGTGAGGCGCCGGCACCGGGGCTACAACGTGGGGCCATCTCCAGGCTGTCTCGGGCAACCTCAAAATTGGCGCCTCTCTCTGCTGGTGGTGGTGGTGGTGGTGGTGCTGCTGCTGGTGCAGATGCTGCTGCTGGTGCGGCTCGGCTCTCCGACTCGACTCGCCGCGGGCGTCGCGGGCATCTGACGCGGCGGGCGGCGTCCCGGGCGGCAGCGATCGCGGCTCGACCGTGGAGGTGGAGGGTGGTGCCTGTGGTGGACCTTTGAGTTTATTTAATGGTCGAGTACCAGGACTGGGGGTTCCACCGGGGAGGCAGGGGGTTCGACCAGGCGACGGAGGACCGTGCGGTGGGGCCTCCCCGGGGAC